CTTTTCCCCGAAAAACTGTGGTCGAGCAGAAGAGAAGGGAGGAGGAGGGGGAGGGATATAGCGTAGAGGAAAGGGAAAAAACGGAGAAAAGTCAACAACTGAAAACATTCTCCACCAAATCTAGTTCAGTATGTACCCTGACAAGGTAAAGCCCTATTGAAGGGGTAACTATCCATGGCCTATTGTGAGGAAGGAGAGCCCGTAACTAGTCCAATCACTTCGATACTACGTGTGCAGATGGCAACCGCACTGCCACGAGGCACATCTCTGCCCTCAACTTCCTCTGCGCTACGACTCAATATAAGCACTTTGCGGAGCTTATTCCCATGCCCTTTATCCTATCGATGTTGACTTCACAGCAGCTCGAAATCGCAGCACTAGCCCCTAGAGCCACCCAGCGGGACCTAGACCCCTGCAGGGACCCAACTATGTCCCTAATTGAAGCAACAAGTCAACTCACCTTCATAGCCATTGCTGTTCGATGGAAATTCCTGGACGAAGAGACAAGGACGGCGCTGACGGTGGTAGCGCGGGCACAAATGGTGCGAGCAGCCAGCATCTGAATCACGAAAAGTGCGCAACGTACGAGAGACATAGACTGCAGAGACTGTGAATGTGGGCCGAAACGAGAGATGCAGACACTCGGGCACTGCAGAGTACGTGCATTTACAACGATGAAGATGTGAACGGATCGCACAAAACATCAAAATATTGCAAAATATTATTCCACAAAGATAAAGGGCACGAAAAGCGATCAAAAGCGTACTATGAGAAAATTCCCAGCTTGCAACACCAAGGGAAAAATAGAAAGGGCGCTGAGAATCACCATAAGTACCCACCACTCCCCACGCTGACCTACTCCGAAATGCTCCGACAAATGAGCTCCATTTTACTGATAGTACTGATACAAGTATCAAGCCGTGGATAACCGTAAACTTCGTAACAATCACGAAAACTACTGACTGTCTGGACCTTCTAAGGGCTGTCCTAGCTAGCTTTTGGAATCTGTGGCTATAGAAAAGGTTTCTGATTAATTAGAAGAAAGCAAAGTCCACTACTAGGAACGCATAGACAGCCAGTAGGAATCAATTCCACCTTCGATCAGGAAAACGATTCGGAACTTTTTATGGGGAATGTCGTACCGTGAGTCGTGTGCCATCAAAATATCGATTACAGTCACAGCGAGGAAATCAATGGTACAAATAGACACATTTGAAACACACAACCATAGCATGCCACTGACCAATATCCAGAAGAATACAGGGTTGCATGAAAGAAGGGCCATGAAGAGGGCAATGCAAGTGACACTTCCAAAGCGCAGTCAGCGCACGTAGTACGTTAGGGATCCATCAGCGAAGGGGGGGGGGGGTAGTATTTGGTCGTTGGAGGGAAGGAGGAGAGGGGTCGTACCTGTGCTTTTTTCTAGAACAATGTTTTCGGCCGTTAATTTTTCTCAGTTCGACCTGTTTCACGTGTGCCCCTTCGGGGCTCGCAAACTCCGTAAAAGCGAAGGGAGATTGGGAGAAGTTCCGGAGATGGTGGGTAAGGTGGAGGTGAGGAAGGAGGGTCGTACCAGAGAAGGACATTTTGAGGGGATTGGTTGTCTTGAATCGCAAAATGTTTCCCCACCAGCAGGAAAAGCTCTGAGCGCAGTGCTATTTAGAATACTGTGATGTTTTCCATTTCTACGCCTTTCGGACATCTCTGATCCCACTCGAGACCGCTACAACGGCACGAACTTGGTTCGGGAGGGGGAGGGGAGGATGGAGAAGCAGAACCACTCGCCAACGCCTCTGCATCTTTTTCCCTCATCAACGCTTAGGCCGGTTGGTGAAACCCATGTCTTCTCAGTGGAACTATCATTCAGTGACTCTGGTCTGCGAACCTTTTGGAGGAACGCATAGTTTGGCGCTCTCGAGTGGTCCCCACCCAACTACGTTAGCAGCTACAACTTGCATGTGAGCGTACATAGTGTATTGGTAGCTATCGTCAGATTAGGCATTGTTCACAGATTGCGACCCGGCGGTTGGGAGAAAAGCAATAAATAGTCATCGATCGGAGAATCGCCCAACCGTCCAACCGCCCAACCGCCGCGGTTGGGCGGTTGGGCGAAAAGCAGTAGATGTGTATCGATTTCGCTGGCGAAAAACGCCACCGCGATGGAGCTAGCGTTTTTGTTCGAAGGCGAAAAACGTCGCGGTTTGGCGAAACACCCGTCGATACGTACCAAAACCCTTTCGCCCAACCGCCAGGCTCTTCGCCCAACCGCCAGTCGATATGTATCGAAAGCTTTTCGCCGAACCGCCGCGTTTCAGAGAAACGCTGGACCGCAGAGTGTGAACAATGCCTTACGTGACAACTAGAACTTTTGGCGGAGAGTTCTTCGAGCCCGCTTCAACAACTGGTGTAGAACGAGTTTGGCACCGCGCCAAACGCAGCCGCACTGACACGCCCAACCGTCCGCAGCGAACTACACTATAGGTTCCAGTTGTCCGCGGGCCTTTGCGTCGCATAGGAGGCGCGTGGTCCAGGGATCGAGGCCATGAGACTCGTCCAGGCCGGAGCAGCTGTGATTGACTTGACAGTTTGAGCGGGCCAGCGGGTCAAAAGTTAGCGGTGTATCGCGGCTCGAAGGAAACGCTCGACTAAACCGCCCTGATCGCAACTTAAGAAGCGGTCTAACTTACATATGGCGTCGCAGCTGCTCACTGAATGAAAAAAATCGCATTCAAATATCAACGGATTTTTGAATGAAATTTGGATGGATGACACATGCCAGAAATTAATTTAGGAACGGCGAGTTCCCACAATAATTACAAGAAGTGTATAGACGCGGAAAAGCGACAAGACCAGCGTATTGAGCGATGAATCCAATCTGAACAGAAAAGCGAATGCACGTCGATTGATGAGACCGACAGATGATACCAGATGCGCTTCGAAAAAAGCGAAAGGGAGTTTCACCATTAGCTGAAACAAGAAGGAGCCGTTGTTTACTTGACCCGCTTGGGTGTGCAAGCTACCACAGGGTGACTAATAGCGGGTGCCTGGTTACACTTCCTTCCTGAACCCAAATCAAATAGATGATTGAAAACAGTCTGTATATTCCTGAAGTCTCCCGGGACA